ATGTTTCGTGTCGTGCGTTCAAATCCCACTGGGGATACATTTTTTAAAAAATTTAATTATTACAAATTCTCATGTACGATTGAAATTAGTTCTACTCTGTCTGTCTGACAGTCCACATTTTATATTTTCTCTCTAAAACCTTATTAACTCGATCTCTTTTATTCTTTTTAAACTTGAATTAGTTAAAAATAACTAATTATTAGTTAAATTCATTTTTATGTTTTGTTGAAATAACTAAAATTTCTGGTAACTAATTGAATTAGTTCCGGATACAGTTCTAATTAACTATTTTTTAAATTAATTTTCTATTAAAAATTATGCTACTTTGTATTAATAGTTTTTTTTTTTTTTTTACTAATTTCTGAAGCTAAAAAGTCAGGCAAGATTTTATTAAAAAAATAAATATTTTATTTAACTAATTATCAGACTTAGAGAGTTGTTTTTCAGGTTTTACAATTTTTTATTTGATAATTACAATAATAATAATTCCTTTTTTTTTGGAAAAACTTAATTTTTCCTCTTTATTCTGATCTCTCGAGTCAATATCTTATGGTTCAGTATCGTCGACATCTTAATCACTTGCCAATTATACAATACAATGTTACATGAATAATTACTTACAATATTGTATTCTATTCTATATGTTGACAAGCTATTAAATTCTCTGTTCTCTCTAGAATATTAAGCTCACAATAACAACCCTGTTCAACACAATAAGATTGAGGTAATTCAAGCTTCTCTTACATAACTTTGTCAAAATTAGATATAAGACAAATTTTTAATAGAAAATATAAAAATAATTTTTAATTATATAATAATAATAGATATATAATAAAGGAAATGTCCAGCTCATTTCTTTTTGGAGAATCGCATCATCAAATTTAATTTTATAAAAAATAATTTTACTCTTTGTTCATTTGATAAGTCCTTTTGTTTTATTAAAAAATATATTTTTTTAGTATATATATATATATATATATATATATACGTTTAAAAAATGCATTTACCTGACACGATATTTTATTCGAATTAATTCATAAAACAGAGTTTTGCCACTTTAAAATATGACCATTGTCTTTATACTATTTTTCATAAAGTGACGGAGTAATTCCGTTATAAAAAACGATTTTCATCAAAAAAAAAAAAAAAAAAAATATACACTATATTCACGTCGTATATCCTCGAGCAAAAAAGAGATATTTTTTTTCTAAAAGTGGAGAGTTTTCTTTGGCTTTGTATGTAGCTTGATTTTATTGAGGACATAAAGTTTTGGATTTTTAACGGTTCTGAAACATTTATGTGTCCACTATTATAAAAGTGTTTGCAAAATTTAATATCAATATTAATATTCAAATAATAATCATAATAATAATAATAAAAATAATAAAAAAAATAATAATAATAATAAAAATAAACATTGAAATATTGCATATCAAAATTTTTATTTGATTAATATAAACTATTTATATTCAATAATTTAGATAAATAAAATTTAAGTAATATCTCGTCTGATGACGTCATTATGTATAGCATTCCCTTTAACACAAGTGATATTCATAAGTTCATATACTTTAATGACGACAAGAAAATACAGGCATAATTAATCTTGGTACAAAACACACACACGCGCACGTACATATTTTTATTTTACACTTTATCCAATCATGTGCACTTGCTTCATTTTATATACATACAGGTGCATATAAAAGTTGTCAAATGTCAAACATGCGATGGAAAAAAGTTAATTGTTTTTCAACCCAACAAAGATTCCCTTTGAAAATTTATATTCTTTGAGATTTTCGTTAAAACATTAAATATATATGTAATATGGAATTAAAAATTTTGTTCGAATATTCAAATCTCATTTTTTAATTTATTTAATAATGAAAATTAATTTAAAGAAAAAAATTTGAAAAAATAAATAACAATAAAAAATAGTGAAAAAATTCTTTTCACTTATTCTGTATTGGCGAGGTAGGGGAGAGTGGGTCAAAACCGGGTACCCCCAGTTTTCCATGATAGGCATTTCCATTTGTGTCACCCATTACATATATGTTTTATATTACAACTAACATCATTTTAATTATATAACCACTATATAAAAATTTATTTATTATATTTTATGCGATTTTTAAATTTTAAGTCAAAAGAAAATCCATTTTTTATCGAAAGTAAATCACTTACAAAACTTTTTGTGTCGATATATTCGTTTCGGCAATTATAACATCTTTTTCAGCATTTATTTACGAGTAATTTTCATTAAAAGTAATTGTTAAATTATTAACAATAAGCTGAGAATTTTACATTTTCTTAAAAAATGCAGTGCGGGGCAAAACCGGGTACCAAACGGTGGGGCAAAATCGGATATATTTAAATGCATTACTCTATACATATATTTAAATTTTATCTCAAAAGAATCGACATGTATGTTTCGAAATCGATGTTTAATTTTCGATATATCAATTATTTACCATATCGATAAATAAACGATAAAAAATTAATAAAAATATGAAAAATTTCGTTTTAAAAGATTTAACTGCTGTTATTCATTAATATAATATATTTAGATTAAATTTATTGAATATTAATCATTTTCTATAATGTAAGTGATATACAATAATAATTGAACAAAAAGTTAAAGAATATTCCATGATTTATAAATTTTCTTGAAAGTACCCGGTTTTGCCCCACCATCGGGGCAAAACCGGGTACTTTGCATTTTTTTGAAAAACCTGGTTTAAATTGATCAAAAAAATTTTTTTTATGCCATCGACCTTATTTTCTCATTCTCTAATGTTCAAGGAAGAATTTTCAACTTGATTTGAACTAATTTATTTGATAGATTCTTTGTAAACCGAGAATTCCAAAAAGGTACCAGTTTTGCTCCACTCTCTCCTATACGTTTTACTTTTTTTTATACAAAAATGATGTATATATATTTTGTAACAATTGAAATTATGTATTATTTAAATAATAAATAAATAAAGTAAATATGTCGTTACTGACAGCATATTATAATTTGAATGTTTCCGCGGTATGAATTTCGAAAAGTTGTAGATAGCGCTTTCAGTTCGCATTCGAGCAGACGACAAGCGCACGTTTTTCGCCTGCCAGCAAAAAGAAAAAGACTCTCAGAGCTGCTCAGAGCGAAGCGCTTCGTTGCATTCACTGGTTCTAATTATAACATATAGTTATATCCCACGGAATAATTGTAATAGAATCACTGATTATAATTTAAAATTAATAATAAAGTTACCCACACAGCACCGATAATTCCCTGAAAGTTCACTGAATGTTTTTAGGTTACCTTGGAAAAGTTCCATCTCCGCGTTCAGAAAAGATGGTTTAAATCTTAAATTTCCGCATGTGAGCAAATGTTTAAGGCGAAACTTGACTGAATATGTAAATTACATTTTCGTTGAAGGTTCAAAATGAAACTAGACTTAAACATTTGCTCACATGCGTACATTTTAAGATTTAAACCATCTTTTCTGAACGCGGAGATGGAACTTTCCCAAGGTAACCTAAAAACATTCAGTGAAGCCTCAGGGAATTATCGGTGCTGTGTGGGTATTTTGTCGTTATACATGAATTCTTTTATTAAGGGGGAAAACCACATTAGGACGCTGTTTTTTAGCCGTTTTTCTCAAGGATTTTTTTTGAAGGGGATAAATTTTTTTAAATGATATGTATGAATGACATAATGTTGCACATATATTTATCTGTCTTACAATTTTTTAAAGCATTTTTATTAAAAACATTCCAATTTAGCAGCTATTAAACCTGGAGCTGTTCTTGAATATTCGGGACTCTCGTCCAAATATATACACCAGTAAGCTCTTCCCTTGATGACTTCTAATTTCAATGATAGATAGTGATGTCCTCAACGTTTATGTGACCCGGCGAGAATCCTCAATTCGTCGCGAGAATTTTCATAATAGAACGAAAGGACAAATTAAAATCGAATTTATTTATTATAGGTCGACTATCAATCTAACGACTTTGGCAAGTTGGTTTGTTAATATGTGAATTTGATTATTTAAAGAAAATGAAGTAAGTATCCCCACACAGCACCCAAAATTCCTTGAAACTTTACAGAACCTCACACGGCGAGGTTAGGAAACTTCAGTGGCTTACAAGTTCATACAAGTTTTTGTCGATGTTTAAATGTCCACATGAAAAGAATATTTACACGAAATATTCACGTGCAATGTTCTGTCAATGTTGTGTCAATATTCACTTATACATATTATATTATAGTAAACGAAATTTTTATAACTAGGCGAAAATTTAATGTCAATATTGCCACAACATTGACTGAACATTACGGGAATATTTATAGTGTAATATTTCCTCAAAGTCTCGTGTAAATATTCTTTTCATGTGGACATTTAAACATCGACACAAACTTGTATGAACCTTGCCACTGAAGTTTCCCAACATCGCCGTGTGAGGTTCTGTAAAGTTTCAGGGAATTTTAGGTGCTATGTGGGTCATAAGAAAACAATTTTTAAAATTCATAACATTTTACAGCCATTATGGTTGGATTTCCACCCTGATTTTGTTTATTTACAAAATTTATTATTTTTAAGTCATTTGTACACGACAAAATGACGCGTTACAATATAGGGGAGACCGAGGAGGAAAGTAACAAAAATCAGTTTTTTTATGCTAACATTAAAAATATTTGTCGGATAAATTTGTCCAATATATTAAATGAAAGCTTGGACATTCACCTTTTAAATAAAATTTGAATTAAACATTTATAATAAATTGACAGTTCACAGTATAACTTTTACGCAAGCTCTTTATCTGTTACTTTCCTCCTCACCCCCGAGGAGGAAAGTAACAAGCTCCTAGGAGGAAAGTAACAGTATAAAATTATGTAAAATTCTTTAGACTAATGACTATTATTAATTAGAAATATTTTTATTAGGAACACATAAAAGTTTAAGTACACTTTATACTTATTTGGCACATATTTGGGACATATTTCGAACATTTTATGAATTTAGCTCATTTTTTTTCTTAAAGATATTTTATGCTTACCTAGATCACAGGTTTTTCTTAAATAAATCTCTGTTAATCGTAAAATTAAATACGATTTGCTTCAATCATTAGTTAAAACATGGACAATATCGACAACAGGAGAAAAGTAGCGTGTTACTTTCCTCCTCGGTCGCTTTTTTCTTGTATGTCAACAAAAAAGTTAAAACTACACAAATGTTAAATTGTTTGTTTAAGCACAACTTAAAGACAGATAATAAGGCTACAAAATAACGAAAGGCACATTTTGAAAAACAATAAAATTAAAGAAATACGAGACTTTGAAAATTTGAACGAAAACTTACTTTTGACGTTTTTTCTGCACGTCACACCGGAATCAGACCTAACCTTTCCTGTCAGGCTCGGACACACTATGGAGGAGGAAGGGGGAACAGTGCCGACTAAAAATATGTTTGAACCATGTCTATCCGATAATTTGTTTAAAAGTTATAAGCTTTGTTACTTTCCTCCTCTGTTACTTTCCTCCTCGGTCTCCCCTATAAACAAAATGTATTGTATACTGCACGCCAATAAACTTCTATGCACGTATATACTTTTGAAAATGCATGATTCATACTTTCTTTCTTTACTATTTTATTCTTGAATTTTACATTCCATTAAATTTTTATTACATCACTTCAGGATTTTATGAAAAATTACCTTTATTTGAGGAACGTATAAATGTGATAAAGGCACTTCGAAGGAATCGATTTTTGCAGTTCCTCGGCCTCAATTGGGTAGTTTGATACGACCAAAGGATATTTTATTTAAGATCCTTACAGCTCATTCATCTCCGGCTTACGGGAAATTGTTATCGTTTGATCCGGAAACTCCATGTTTGTGTTCGCACTTTTAAAAACAGAAATTTTTTTTTATAAATTTTGTTTCTTACAGTGAATAATATTATATATTTTTTAAGATAACTTTAATCTCAAAAAAAAGCAAACCAAATGTCTTTGTCACATATAAGTATGTGCAAGGAGAAAGAGAAATATTATTGATAAATCTAATAATCGGATTGTTAATATAGAACTAATAAATCTGATTTGTCGTGATAACAAATTGTTTGTTTATTCAATAATGTTACTGTTATCACAATAATATCGAATTGTTAGATGCAGAAAAAAATTTGTTGCAACAACAAATCAGATTTGTTAGTTCTATATTGACAATACGATTGTTAGTGTAACAATCCTTTTTCTCCATGTGTAGTAACATATTGTAAATTTATTTATCTGAAAATTGAGAAAAATTAAATTAATATATCTATTGAGTTTTATTTTAACTTTATTTTTCTATGTAATAAAATTTTGTTAATTTAAAAGAATTTTAATATATTAAAGAATTAAGAAAAATTTAATTGAAGTACATGCCAGTATCTTAAATTTAGAAATTAGTTATAATTAAAAAAAAAAATTTTATCGAAAAATTTCTTTACGGTTTTAACTCTTAAAACAGTAAAGTAGTCTGTACATTTCTCATTGTACCTTGTCGATGAAAGCTACCAAATATATTACTTCAAGCTTCCTTCTCCAGTGTACAAGGATTCCCACCATTTTTCCACGCTCAATTTCAAACTAGCTTTGCTTTATATTCTCTCCAATAAAGTTAAGTCAGTGTCAGTTCTTTCAAGCTACTTTGCTTTTCAAATTTATTTTCTTTGTGAAATAAAAGATTACAATTTTCTTATTTCTTTTGTAATTAATTTTCAAAGACGAATGTTTAAAAATAATATTTGTAAATTATTTTATATAAATTTATATTTTTTTTGTAAAATCTCTTTGTCTTTGCTTATTATTAAAAACTTTTGTTCTAATAATAAATTATTGAAGTAAATGTAAAAATCTTTGTAGAATAAAATATTCGAATCATAGTTTTACATAAAACAATTTTTTTACAACTGAAAAAGATTAATAAAATATTAAATTAAAGTGAAAGGAAATTTTTTAAACATTAGGCAATTCAGAAATTGAAAATTATTATTTAACTGTAGAAAAAAAATTTGTATTGAACAAATTTTATCTTTTAATTTATACTACGAGTCAGAAATTTTCGATACAGTTAGCGTGAGATTTATATGAAAACACACCTACCATTTAATCATCTAAACTCTGTTAAAATATAAGCTAGAGAGTTAAAAAAAAACTAATAAAATTCTCTGTTCTAACTACCAATAGACAAACATTTATTGATCTTTCATGGAGACTATATAATCTGATAAGTACACTGAAAAAAAAATTTATTTGATTCAAATACCGGTGTATTTGGTTATTATCAAATAAATATTTACTTGAATCAAATATTTCTTATTTGAATAAAATAAATGTTATTTGCTTTAAATACTGAAATATTTGATTCAAATACTATATATTTGCTTCAAATAAAAAATATTTGATTCAAGTAAATATTTATTTGATAATAACCAAATACACCGGTATTTGAATCAAATAAATTTTTTTTTCAGTGTATGGAAAGAAATTCAGTAATTTTTCACTTTTTGTACAATATCTTGTGACATGATCGAGAAAAATTGTATAAGAATCTAAAATTTATGTTAGATCAATATTAAAATTTAAGCTTATATTTTTAATGACAAAAAACTAATTAAACCGTCGTTTTAAATATACTTTTTTTTACTTTTACCTTGTAATTTTTATTTTTAAAAGTTGAAAAAAAGAATTAAAGAAACTTTTAATTAAACAATCATTTTCAGTAAAAATAGAAAAGATAAAAGAAAAATTAAATGAAAAATCGAAATTGATAGGGAAGGGTTAAAAACAGATAAAGGGAAAAATTAATAAATGTCAATAACACAAAACAAATATTAATTAAAAAATGGTCAGTAATATATTTTTAAAATTTACAAAGAATAAAAGATGACAACTAAATACAAATAGAACATTAGGGTCACAAAATAATCAAAATTAATCAATAAAAAATCATTTGTTGAATTTAAAAAAAAATCTTCTTAACCAAAATGTAATACAATTTTAGTAGTGTAATATTAGGGTCATAATCTGATTAAGATTTTTTGAAGTTTCTTGATCTTAATTTGAACCTAAAACATAACAATGTGATATAAATTTTAGATATTTATACAAATTTTATTAGATCCTTAGATTGTATCACAAGTTGAAGAAATTGTATACTATGAATGAAAAATTTAATTTAATTAAAAATTGCAAAAAGCTCAGGACTTTTATTTTCATCACGCCCTCAGAAACCTTCACCGAAGATGTTAAAGCATATTGTGTTTTGATCGACATTCTAGCTGAGTCATACAGACTCTTGAGTGTAAAAACAATTTTCGTGATCATTTCCATTTTTAAAAGCTTTGTTCATAATGAACAACTTGATTGGAATGCTTTCTTGAAATCGATAAAAAACGCAATGATTTTATATGATATATATTTTTATATAATTTATTAAATCTAAAAACTAGAGTTCACTGAGAAAAAAAGTTAGCTTGCTGTATCAGCTAAATATCGTTAGCACAATTAGCTAATGCATATTTGCTGCTACAGCTAAATCATTTTTCTTCGTAATTAAATTGAAAAAATTGTACAACTGCTGAATCTTGAGCCTTCTTATCTGCTTATCTTTGTGTGGGTCAAAATCAATTTTTGATCATTTACTCAAATTTTGAACATCCTTTTCGTGCATTCATAGAATATAGAATATTTTTGTGATAATATTCAAATTCAATAAAGTAATTTCTCTTTAATTATTCGGATCATTCCTATCATTCTTCTTATGCAGCATAGATACAAGATTATCCATCCAACTACTTGGAATTCTTTCTTTTACTCTCAAATTCCATTTAAAGCGACAACAAACGAACCAGGCATCTCTTTAAAAAAATGCATTTAGTATGCCATTCACTCTCAGCGATTTCTTGTTTTTACATTTAACTAAACTAAATTTTAATTCCACCATTGAAGTGGAAGGATCCATTAACGGGTGATAATTATTTCTAAAATAAAAAAAAACCATGAAGTCTTGATGGAAATATACTGTCATGGAGATATGAAATCCTCCTATTTTATAAACGATACGTGTAATTGCCTAACTTCAAGTGTAGACACCTATCCTTATTGATAGAATTCAGAATTATGATTGATCAAAACTGACGACGTACTTTCATCAGATAGGGGAAGGTGGGGTAATGGGAGCTTTTTAATACTTGGACAGTCTTTCTGTTTGTCATACCAAGACAAATGGTCACATTTCTGAAAGATTTGTAGAAACTACAAGGAAAAATTAAGTTATCGAGTTTTTCTTCTTAAATGGAAAATATTTATGAAGATCAAATTAAATTGATAAAAATTTATTATTTAATATGTTATGAAAATGGCGGACACTTATATTTTAGTGACAGTTTGACACAAGTGAGTTGATTATATTTAAAAGATAATAATAATTAATTAATTAATATGATATTATTAATGTTTATATTAATTAATATAATAATAATTAATTAATTATTTTTAAAAATCTTTAAATTTTGATTTCTATAATATTCAATTTAAATCTTAAGTCTTCAAAAAACTTTATCAAATAACTATTTTTTATTATCCATGAAAAACAATTTATTAAATTAATTAAAATACATTATTAAACTTCCTTTATCTAATAAATTATTAATTTTATTTATATTAACATTTTTTTTAATTATAATTAGAAAAAAGTGTAATTAATAAATAAATACGATATATACTGAGATTCTTCAAATTTACTTATTTCCACAATATAATTCGAATTTCACAAATTAAATTAAATTTTTAGAAATCGATGCAAATTGTTGTTTTTTAATTAAATTAAATTAATTAAATTTAATTATAATTTTAATTAAGAAAACTTTTTCTATCTTTCTTTATTTTATTATTATTTCCCGTGTGGAAAAAGCCACGATCTTGCCCTCAAGAGTTCGGGGCCCCCGGCGGGGGCCCATGAGGGCTGATCCATATGGCGAATCCATGAGGGGCACCGTAGGGGCCCCGCATGGATCGCCCTCATGATCGATTAGCAAAATTTTCTAAGTCCAAAAATCAAATATTTTTTTATCACCAAAAAATTAATGTTTCCAATGATTCAGAACAACGAAAAACGTGTTTTTAATAAAAATATATTTACACTTTTTTTGAAAATTCACCTGAGATGATTCATGATAATAATCATAAAGCATATAATTAATTATATTTTATAAATTGCATTTGATTGGAAAATATAATTTAATATCTTAACTTTAACTAAATGATGTTAAGCACTTTTCTTTGTTAGGTATTTTTCAAGTTAAAATAGCATCAAGAAGTTAGCATTCGTTTTGAAGTAGCGTGCGTAGCGTAGTTGGTAAAGCGTTAGACTCATAGTCCGTAGGTCGTAGGTTCGATTCCCCCCATGCGTTAGATTTATTTATTTCTCAGGTTTGCGTTTAATCATTAATTCTATGTATGAATTAAGGAACCTTTTCATACAGGATCTTATGTGTGAACCTGTATGGGAACCCACATAAGAACTCACAAGAGATCCTGGATGAGATCCCATATGTGTTCTCACATAGGAATTTTCAACAGGGCCACCTACCGTGCAAAGTCGGCGGCTCAACTTCTTTATCGACTATCAATTTGGATGTCACTAGAAAATTCCCTAGCCTGTCAAACTCACTTACGCGAACATTTTACACTTTAAACTTTATTTATTTAATAATAACACGTTAATTTATCACAAATACAGCACAAATCTATCACTAAATACTTTTATTAATCAATTCAATTACACTTTTCCACAGTTTCCACTCAGTTTCTACACAATTTTCACTCCAACAAAATGTTTAACCAATGTGTAACGAA